AAGATAATCCATGTGGCAGGCGACAAGGGAGAAAAAAACCCACCAGGCCGGTGACTGATAAGACTCAGAGACATCATAGAGCACTTCCAGGTCTTTAGATGGGAAATGGCAACAACATTATGTTCCTGGCACACCAGTTGAAACTTCTCCAGTTTTGAGGATGACCTTACTTAGTGCGAACAGAAAAGACCACGTTTTTCTCTGCAGGTTTAAAACCCTTGGGGTAGTCTTAATTTTCACAGTTTCACTGATAAATATCCTGTCAGTCAGAGAGCCGATCTACATACTGCATGATCAGTCAGTAAATTAAAAAAAATCTATTCATAACATGCTCCGTTAACACAGTAGTTAGCAGTCGAGAAGATGTTTCAGACCACTCCAAATAATCACAGACCCCATAAATATTCAGATTAACCTGATTTATTCATACATCTATATTCTTAATCAAAACCTTTAACGTGCGAGAGAGAGCAGCTAAACAACTAGATGTAAATGAGCGTGACCTTTTGTGAACATCAAGTTGTGCTTTATCTCCTACTGCTTTCCCTAAATATGATTATCATAATGTATTCCTCGTCAGCATGTTCTTACGGTCGACCCGTTGCACATTCGCCTGTCAAAGGAGCCCTGCCACAGCCAAGCTTCTCTTGCCTACAGCCATATCACACAAGCACCTTCGCTAATAGCGTCTCTGTGTCATTAAAAGCAACGGGCATCACTCAAACCAGGTCATGCCATTTTGTTCTAGAACACTCAAACTGCTTCCTTTCTTTGAATGTTTAATGAGATTTTTTTTGTGTTCGCAGATGCGCACAAACCAGCTAATGAGTTTGATTTAGCTCACAAAGGCGATTGTACACCAACATCCACAACGAAACACATGCTTCTGAAGTTTTTGCTATGAAATGCAAGTTAATTGAAAGTGAATTGATGTGTTTCGTAACATCCTGTGTTTTAACAGTAACCTGCTAACCTCGAGGTAACAGAGGTTGTTTTGTCTTGTCATGAAAGCACCAAACTTCAGGACTAATGGAAGATTTTTCTTCTCTGTAGAGTGAAAATGGAAAAAAGAGCCACTTTTTGTGTTTCATTACTCGTCTAAATTAGTTTAATGGTTTTACAGGCTATGAAGAAAGTATTCAGCATGTGTGCTCAAATCAAGCCTTCACAAATGTTTTGCTGTTTGCTGTTAGTTCAGAGAAACATCCTTGGTCAATAACAGCAAATGACTATTGGCATGTTTACAATGACTTTGACGTTAACATGCTAGGCACTAAGTGGTAATGACAGTGCACCAACAAGGTCTTTATGCCAAACAACAGCAGTCATAATGGCTTATTGACTGTTTTTAAAGGGTGATATGTATTTGTGTGCTTTGTATCTCAGTATTCTGTGAGAAATGTTTTGCAGATGTCATTTTATGATGCTAAGTCTTTGGTTAACTCCTCCTAAAACCTAATTTAGTAAGACGGCGATTAGCAGCCACCTTTAAATTGCGTCTTTTGTTAATTTGGTTAGAGATTTTTGGATTCATTGTCAAAGCTGTATGGCTTAAATCCTAAACGGATGGTCTGATTCCAAAGAGATGTCTTTGGTTTTATGTTGAAAGACAGCTTTAAGTTGATGGTTCCTGTTTTAATAAGCCACAAGTTATCTTAAGTGGAAATCCTCGCTTCTGTTTGCCTTGTCAGTTGAAATTAAATTGAATTTGAAACACGGAGCAAGAAAAAGAACTAAAGCTGTCAGTCATTGCAGGAAATGAGGATTGTATGGCCCACTGTGTCTTTAGCATTGCTTTCCCTCAGTTCTAACTCTCTCTCTCTATCTTTAAAGGGTGATCTCTGCTAGCACTTAGCTCAGGCATGAAGGATGAGACTGAATATCATGTCAATTTTGTGGGCTGTGGTCTGGCAGCTGCAGGCTATGGTGATTTATCTTGAACGTCTGTGTGTGTGTGTGTGTGTGTGTGTGTGGGTGTGTGTGTGTGTGTGTGTGTACAGACATGCTGTAAGGAGAAACCTTCTCAATCATTCATCCATCCATCAAGCTCCTACACTAGACAGAAGCAGCTCTTTCAGTGATCTTAGATCAGCATTCTCCACACCAGTCCTTGGAAAGATACCATTTCAAAGCAGCTTTCCAAACACAGCTTCATGCTTATCTTCGAGCGAAGATCAAAAGCTTACAACACTTGCTTTTCAGTCAGTAGATTGCAGCTCTTATAGAGAAATATAGTACACCTCTCTGTCCTTAAAGGGCTTTAAAGAGATAGTTCAACCAAAAATTATAATTTAAAATCATTTACTTGTCATTGCAAACTTGTATGACTTTTTTCTTCTGTGAAACACCACATATATTTTGTAAAATTGTACTTTTTGTGGTCCATACAGTTCAAGTCAGTAGGGTCCAATGTTGTTTTGGACCCCATTGACTTTCATTGTACAAGTAAAAACAGCAGAAGCTTTTTTCCACAAAAGTAATCAAGCCAATACATGTTTGAAACAAAAAGAGGGTGAGTAAATAATGACAACATTTAAAAAAAAATATATTTTTTTTATGTGAACTAAAGAATCTTGATTCTTAGACACTGAGGGTGTTGAAACATGCATAATCATAATTATCATCATTATGTATAACGAGGGATCCAGATTTTTCCAGTTATGTCTTTTGTTGTACTGTCCGTTATCATCAAAACAAGCTGAGAATTGCTTTATCTTGTTCTCTTAATTACATATCTCGCTCTCTTAATTACTCACTATCAAATTTAGTCCCAAATTATAGAGCTAAAGAAAGAAAGAAAGGGATAAAGGACTTGAGTTTTGTAAAGGTGGTGGTCTCTTTTCGCTCAATTACTCTCAAATGGTTGTATTTGTCTCTGCTCAGTCCGCTGTGTAAAACACCTTCATTGGTAAATGAATATAAATGCACCCATCTCTCCGTCCTTTCTCCTCCTTGTCATCTGAACAGGGAACATTGGGGTCATTCTATCGCTCTTTCCTCAAGGGCTTTGATGAGGAAGGGCTCTGAAGGGTGACGGAGAGATTCACTTTGTATCCTGGAATCAGATGTTATCTAGTTCTCACAGACCCACAGCAGAAAAGAGTATTTTCTCTAATATAAGCATTTTAAGGGTGAGCCAGAGGGCATGTCTGAAGATGAAGACGCTGCACTAACCATGTTCCTCAAACAAACAAGGCAGAAAATGCAAGTCTGAAACCCCATAACATATGCGACTGTCAATCTGATGAACAGTGATTATAGTTGAATGATGTTAAAGGGGTGGTTCATCTAAAAATTCACCATGTCCTTCCAAACCTGTAGAGTTTCTTTCGTCTTTGGAACACAAAAGGATAATCTTCTGGCTGCTCTTTTCTATGCAATTATAATGCATGGGGACTAGAGCTTTCAAGCTTCCAAAAGGACTAAAAAGCAGCATTAAAGCAGTATGAAAGTAGTACACATGACTTGTACTTTCCAAGTCTTCTGAAGCCATGTGAATGCTTTGTGTGAGTAAAAGACTTTAAACAGATCAAAATGTAGCATTTTTTTTAATTCACATCCAACTTCACCCTAGTCTCCTTTTAAAAATGCATGAGAGGCCATGAAAGAAGTATTGATGCCCAATTTGTGATTTTTTTTCAGAAATCAGACTCATCTGGTTTTTGACTAGAGGGGAATGAGATCAGTCAATAATGACTTAAATTCCTCCCATAAAGCTATCATAACATGACTTCAGTAGGATATAGTTGCCTGAACCACTTTTATAATACTTTTTTTATGGTTCTTTTGCATCACTTTGTTCATTGTGCTTGCATGAAAACGAGTAACCAGTGCATTCTTCAAAATGTCTTCCACAGAAGAAAGAAATTCAGGGTTAGAACAACATGAGGGTCAGTGCATGGTATATATGACAGAATGTTTCATTTTTGATAGAATTCTAAAGGAATATTTTGGGTTATTTCAAACTCATTTCTATGTACTTTGTCTGTAGCGCACTGTCAATTATCACAGATATTCTGACTTGTGTGTATAAATTAAAGGGTAACGGGTAACACTTTAGCATATGGACCAATTCTCACTAGTAACTAGTTGCTTATTAGCATGCCTATATTATTAACACATTGGGTGTTTATTAGTACTTATAAAGCACATATTCTACATGACCATATTCTACATCCCTAATCCTACCCAATACCTAAACTTAACAACTACCTTACTAACTATTAATAAGCAGCAAATCAGTAGTTTGAGGCAAAAGTCATAGTTAATGGTTTGTTAATAGAGAGAATTGGACCTTAAAATAAAGTGTGACAGGGAAACGCATTATGCTACATACAAACCAATAGCAGCCTATAGGGCCTATGAAAATTGAAGCCTATAATTTACAGTACTGCAAATAAATGTTTCAATATGCAACTGTCAAACCTTTTCAGAAGTAAACAATTAACAGTCTTGACTATAAAAAAAAGACTCAAAGTTATAATTACCGACCCTTGTGACAACCAGCTCCGCCACTCAGTATTTATTTATTTAGTTAGTTAGTTAGTTAGTGTCTGTGCAGGGAATACCAGGAAGGCACATGAGAAACAGGACATAAATATTGTATGTGATATGTAAACCACTGTTTATGTGGAGCTTCATGCATTCTGCAAACTCCACCCACCAGAATTACATCAGTATCTTTTAACCAGAAGTTCATCCACCTAGAGAGTATTCCCATCTCAGGAGGACGATTCAGACAACTTTACAGCTAATTTTTGATGCTACATTATTCATGTAACTTAAAAATAATACATGCTTCACATTAATACTTTGAAACTCTTCGGCCAATTTGCCTGCTAAGCTTTCATTAAAATGTATTTAAATGTATTTCATGGCATTTATCCACATGCAAATTAAGTCAAAATTATTGTCTGTGGGAATCAACAGCCTTATACGAATAAATTGATTTAAATCGATGAAGTCAAATAAACTTTCTCTCTCACTCTTCCTCTTTCCAGGTGTTTACACGTTATGGGAAATGTTACATGTTTAACGCTGCTGAAGAGGGGAAGACTTTGAGGACTACAATGAAAGGAGGCACGGGCAACGGCCTGGAGATCATGCTGGACATCCAGCAGGATGAATACCTGCCTGTGTGGGGAGAAACAGGTAAACACACACACACACACACACACACAAATGCAGTCAACCCTGATCACACTATGTACACTGAGCTATTCCAGAGGTTTTCCTTGTTAAACATCTCACATCATATACAGGAGAAACTCTGATTGTCTTACAGGTGTCTGATTAGGGCAGGGCTTTGTCAGCGCTTTCAGTGTGACGCTGTCCCCAGGGACGCAGTGAATATTTGCGAGAGACACACACCTTGAAGAACAGCTGTGATGCTGTAATGGTGTAGACAAATCCAGTGGGATTCATTATCAAATAGAACTTCTTGCATCCTGAGGAACTGATCTGATGCAGGTACACTTCTCTGAACAGTGGTACACAAAAACTTCAAAACATTTTTAGCTTCCCTTGTGGTGTGTTCGATATTTCAAAGGAGATGAAAGCATTTAGGATTAAGAGAGCAGCATTGAGGATTCCCAGCAAAGGATTCATTAGCATTTTAAAGGTTACGAGTTCAGCTGAGGCTAAATTCAAATTTATTCCAAGAAATATCATCATACTTTTTCCAACAATGAACAAAAGGAGTCAGAGCGTGGTGACTATACATTTCATCAGCTGTATTGGGAGAGTGGCCTTTAAAGCAATGGCACAAATTGTACCAAAGCTTTATTGCTGATTCAGGGCTGATACATAAATCCTTTAGATTTACTTTTTCCTCACCTTCACATAACTGTGAAGGATATGGACAATTCCTCTAAAACTCCTATGTACCGTAGATCCAGTATATGGCCTGTTTAATGGCCGAAAGGTCATCTGTTGTCAGATCAGCCATTAGAGCAGTGCTGTGGGGCAAGTGCCTTGGGGAGATTTTGTAAGGGCGAATATTGAGGTCTCGTTCTTTTCCTTGCATTCCAATGAAGTTTATGCAGTTGCGTTTGCTCCTCCTCTTTTCTCTTTATATGGTGTCCAGTGTTCTCACTGCACAGCTCTTATGTAAACACATTCTCGGTTTTATCGTTAAAGCACCAGATTTGAATTGTATGAAGATGTTCAGTGAATAATGCCTCACACAAAGCTATCGTATGGTTTCAGAAGACTCTTTTATGATTCTTTTATGTCATTTTTTGAGCTTGAGAGCTACTATCCTCTGTCTCATCCCACATCCATCTCCTGTTGTGTTCCATATTGAGTAAATTAATTTTATTTTTGGATAAACTTATCCTTTGATATTGCTCCGGCAAATATGTTTTCATTTATTATTTATTAATTTACTTGAAGACATTTGGATAAAAGTCATTGTCTATAATCAAAATGATCTTTGCACAGAAAATAGCTATAACACTATAGGCTTACTGACAAAAAGTTATTACTTGAATGAAATCTAAACATTATTCAACTAAATCAAATTTAAAGTTTCATAGTTTCTTACTTTTTTAAATAAAGATGTTTTTATTATTCAACAGAAAAAGGCACATAAAGCTATAAGACAAAATGGAGCTGATTTTTTTTTACAGTCGATACAGTAGATCAGGTTACAGTAGTGGGCAAAGTTTTTCAAGCTTCAAAGGGAGGCGTGACAATAAAACTAATTTCTAGCTCCGACTGGATAGAAGAAAAGTCAGGAGATCACCTGCTGTATTGTTTACTTTCTTCTTAGTTTAAATGATCAAGACCAGAAAGTCATCTGTCTGCATCCACCATTCTACCTCTGACACTCAAACATTTTTGGAGAGCCATGGGGAAAGAGATGGAGAAATTGGAAATGGAAGAGGTGAAGAGGAAGTGTGCACATTCATATGTAATATAATAAATGTGCTACATCGTGCTGAAAAATCTTGGCACGATGCACAAGGAAGATGACACGTCTGGAGCAGAGAAAGAGCCCATGATAAACTTGCTATCATCTTTTTCAAATTTAAGACACTGAGAGAGATCCCTGAGCCTCACTGAATAAATGTGCAGCCAATCCGTCATTCTGTCTGCTGGTTTCCAACTCTGATGAATGCAGAGTGATGAAGAACTTATTCACTTTGAAAGAAGAAATGGGGAGATAAACAATATATTATCTAGAGCAAGATGCGGTGTGCTTGAACGGGAATATTTATGTGTTTATTGTTTTTTGGATGCAGTGGTGAAGCTCGGCAGTACTGTAAATTCATTCAAAAGATCACTTCTTCGCTTTCGTTTCAATGCATTTTGCATCCCCCTTTCTCATTTCACTTCTCTTTCCTCTTCATGTTTTCGTGTTATTCATCTAAATTAGTGGCTTCATACTAAGTAAACTTACTTTCACTATCTCTCCTTGTAATAGATAAAAAATAAAAATGAAAGTCAATGTAAGTTGGCTAGCTTTTGTTAGTTATCTTATCTGTGGGTTGTTAGATCTAGAATTCTAAAGTATAACAAAGTAGCACTGTAAGATTACATTTACCTAAATAAATGTATAGAAAGAGAGAGACTGTGCATGTGTCAATTACTTTCATCTGTATTATTGAGTATTCAGACTGACTTGTTTACCTGCACATCTCTGGAGTGTCTGGATGTTCTGTTGTTCGAGATGATGTTATTGATTCAGAGAGCACAATGCCTTAAAAATGTTTCAGCTTTATCAAAAGACCTTTTCATGTCTGTCTCCATGTTGGTTTCTTTCTTTTATTTGAATTCTTGTTTGTGCTTTTTTCTTCTTCTAGCCGTTTATGTGTGTGTGTCAGGGTTGTGTACCATTTAGAAGTGATTTGAGAATGTCAGTTAAATTTGTAGAACACAAGATGTGTAATTATAATTCAAATGTGAATTTAAGTAAGTAAAGTTACATTTAAATTAATTGTAAAAAATCATATCTGCAGGTTTTAATGATAAGAATAAAATTATTATTATTGTTATTATTATTAATAGTATAATAATAATACAAAAATAATTTCTCTCTGTATGATTTAACCATAAACTAGTCATACACAACATATGGGGTATTTCCAGAAACATGAAATGATGATAATAATCAATGCTTAAAATGCCACAGGAGTGTTTTATTTAATTTATATATTTCATTATATTTAATAAATTATACTTCATTTTATGAACTATAGTGGAAAAGCACTTCATGTCCCAGAATGGTGTATTTACTCAATTGTTTACATTTGGCAGTCAAAATTGTAGCATATTGTTTAGGTAATTAAATATAAAGTCATCTGCATACAATGTGGTAAACATTTTGTGGTGCTGCATAGAAACGTTTATGGCTATGTTCATTTTACACTATTGGGCTTAGTTCAGAGTAATTTGAGAAAGCATGTTGAGAAAACATATGTATGCAGAAATTAATGATCCTGTTAGTTATGTTTTGATGTAAAAATGTGTTGGGGTAATGAAATTCCTCTGGTGATGTAACTGTTAAATTTCTTTGAATTTAAATTCAGAACATTCCTCTTCAAACTCCAAATTTAACGTCCCGTGAGGCTCAAATGTATTCAAATTCAAACTCATAAACTGAAAAGGAACCCATTAAAAACTTCCAAACTTTGCTCAACCCTGATGTCTATGTGTTTTGAAAGGTGAATGCCTCTGTGCTACAAAATATAGTTGGTTTTGCGAATAGAGTTAGGGAGGAGACCAGTAAACCTCTCTCACTATCTCTTTCTGTCCTTTATGCCTGCACTCTCATCTCGGTTCCTGATCAAAGCCGGATATTTATGCATTCTGCTCAGCAGCATGTGTTGTTTTTCCACTTTGTAGCTGTGGAAATGCCGGCAGATTTTGGCAGGTGATCACTAAGTCTGGACTCAACAGCCTCAATCTGTAAAGATATTAAATTTCACATGGCAAATATTTGATTGATTTCTTTCTGTTTCTAAACTTTAATTAAACCAACTTGCTTAATTATTGAGCCGAAGACCCCAAAAATGGTGTCAATAATCATTTTTAACCAACAATTGTTTGGTTGTGTGCAAATATATTAATCACAGTAATATAGCAGCAGGGAATAAAATGATAACACTTAATGTGCTTTGTTAGAAGAGGCAAAGGAAAAATCAGTAGAGTCTACTCAAATTAAAAATAGAAGAACAGTGTGTGTCATAGATCGCTCAACGAGAGGATGAAGAAGAGACTCTCCGAATAGGTGTTGTTGCTCTCTCTCTCTCTACCTTAATTCCCATCATCCCCTCATAATGACCTGTCTTTCATCTGTAATATGTAAAGTGTCAGGTGGAAGAGAAAAGATGCAAAGAGACAGACTTCAAAAGCATTGGCATGGTTTTGAGTTGAAAAGAGTCCTTCTCATCTTTCTGCTAAGAGCATCAGTCTGAAGACTGATTCATCTATGGTTTATCTTATGGATTCATCTTAACACACACATACAAAAATAAATGTGAATACATTTATGCCGGGTTATTAAATTAAAGGATTATCCCATTCAAATATGAAATATGAAATATATATATATACACTCACACACACACACACACACACACACACACACACACACACATACATTTCTTTATTTTCTTCTTTTAAAGTTCCAACTTCTTAGGTGTGAACAATCATAACATAACACTTTAGGATCGAATATGCATGGCGTATGGCTATGAAATAAAATGTCAATTTCAGACTATTAATAGCAGGAGCAATTATAGGGTATTCATTAATTATAGGGGACAGTCATTGCAGGGGTGATTTCAGCTTTGGAGAGATCAGGCCATTTTGCAGTGGTCTCAAGGATGGTTTTTCGCTTTTTCTGTGGTTGTGGGTTCAAAAGTTTTTTTGGCTGACTTTTCTTTATAGACATAAGAAAATTGCAACTGTCTATCAGGATATGTACTGTATATCACTAACAGGGCACATTTGGTTGAATTGTATTTTGTGACTTGACTGGAACAGAGAGCGGACTGCGGATGAACGATAGTGGAAAGATGCACAGAGAGCTTCTGTGACACCTGAACTACGCTTCAATATTTGGTGACCTCTGATTTACAAATCCCAAGACTTTGCACTTCTGTGTCAAGTTATATAAGGAGACTTATATATTTGCTCTTGGCATC